TCTGACAGGCCACAGAGTGGCATGACCTGCTGAAGCAGTTCGTGCATCCAGTCCGGAAACTGCTTTGCTTTCACCACCTGCGCGCACCGATTACGCTGCTATACGCCCTTTCCGAAGCTTCAGAATGACGCAGTGCTAGATTGAAAGCAAATCAAACAAACCCGGGAAGACCTTACTGAAACCACGTTCAAATCGTAGAAAAAAACCCAAAATAGCATGCAATCAAGGGACTGCGCCGCCGTAGTTGTATGGGCATGTGCAGCCCTCTCGCACCAGCCACTTTGTTCCCCGAGACATCACGCCCAAGCTTCCCAAAGGTCGATCCTGGGCTGGCCATGGACAATAAGCTCTTTGTCAATGCCTAAAATGGGATAGCCTTCTTAGTCAACAAGCAAAAAAAATGCAAAAAGTTTTCTGTCAGCATTCTCCACTCGACATCCATACCCTGGTTCAAAGCATTCATGATAAAACAAAGCTCCATGCCATAAAACCGAAGCTCGGCCAATGCTGTTCACCAAGCATCCCAGCCACCAAGGTCTTCAATCCCTGTGTTGACACGTTTCAACCAGTAGGTGGCCCATGCCTCGAGGGGCCAACGTGCTGAAGACGTTTTGACAATGCACAGAGGCACCACCCAAATTCTACTCCTAGATGGACAAAATATTCAAAATGTCTCTCCAAATCTCAACCAGTTCATCCTTTCGGTCTGAGTCCACCGAGTGTTGTACATTTGACAGCAAGCAAGCAACCATTTTACAGGATCTGGAGCACTGCCTGTTTGTCACATGGCTCCGTCAGCGTTGCGACTTTGTCTGCTGGCAATGAAGCCACGTAGCCTCACATCCGAAGTTGCATCTGTGAAACAGTAACTGTAGGTCCTTTCTCGTTGTGCTTCCGTTCCAAGCACCCAAACTTCTGCCTGTTACAGCAATGGCGTTTTGAATGCTTGATTCCTATGTCGTGTCCGATCAACGCGTTTCGAGTGACTGTGGCAAAACCAATCGACCGCAAAAACACACAAACCTCAGGAGCCGTAGACTCTTCTGAAGTGATGAAATTGAAACCAAAGAGCAGTCATGCGCTTGCAGCACGTAGCTCCATGGGACATTCGGCGCTTTTTGCCCGATCAGGAAGGGTGGCAATCTTCCGTCAGTTCTGGGACGGGGACCTCGGAGTCGGTCACTGCGATCGGAGAACAAACAAGTTGGTCACTGGTTTGTTGCTGAAGCTTGTTCTCCCTGCCAGTGGAAAACACCCAAATGTGATTGCAGCAAATGCAACAAAAGATACGATTTACACCCGAGGTTCCCTCTGGTAGTGGAGGCTTCGTCAGCACCAAGTCAGAAAACCAGCCACCACTGCCTGCTGCATCACCAACTTTGACATGGGTGAAAAGGATTGAAAAGGCAAGTTCAGGTCTCTTCCAATAGTATTGTGCCTCTTATCTAGGAAAAGTGAAAGGCAAACAACTCAAATCCTTCGTCAGTCAGTCGGCCTTCCCGCAAACGTCCATAGATCCAACCGCCTTCTTGTCTCTCAATGTAGAACTGGTCACCCTTCCTTCAACGGTTCAATGAAAAGGAGAGCGATTCCGCTGCACAACGTTTGCCGTCTCCACTGTCTGTCAGTCACTGTCCTTATTCTCAGTTGGTTTGGCTGCTCCGGCAGCCAGCCACGTTCTGCCAAATGCAAGGCAGCCTTTTTCTCCACACTTTGGTCCTGAGGTTGTTCTGCGCACAGCAGTTTGCTGTCTCCATAATGCCAATTGCAATCTTGTACCAATCCATAGGACATGCCCCAGAAATAGAAACCAAAATAAGATGCCAGGAAGTCCCCAGACGAACCATGTTTGCCGTTTGCAGTGTCGGCGTCTCTCTGTTGGCAACTTGGTCTGATTTGTCACAACAAATAGATTTTGGGGGATTGGCAAGGAGATCTTGAGCAGCAGCTTGACTATCCCCTTTTCGTCACCTCTCCTGGCCACAATCACAAGGTTCGGGGAAGGGAAGTTCATAGGTTCATTACTATATACAAATAGATGGCAATCATAAGCACCAAATCATACAATGTGCACTACTGAGTACTACTCTCAAGTACTTTAGTCCTAGGCCCAGGAAATGACGCAAAAAGACACCCAGTACTTGTTCCTTATTAGATCGTATACGAACTTGTTCTCTCCACATCTTCACCATCCAAAGACCCAAAGCGTCTCAGCCACGCTTCAGCATCACGGCTCAGCGTCGAAGTGGCACTGAGCCATCCTTGTTCAGCTGATTCAGACTCTGCAAAAATCCACCTGAGTTGCCCGAGTCTCTGCAAATTCGGAAAAGATAGTAAAGACAGAGCAAAAAAAGCAAAATATGGTAAAGAACTGATGTCCCCTATAAGCACTTCTCATGTTTGGGTTCAGCAAAATGTAAACAAAAACTCTATTAATTGGTTGGTGCAGCTCCGATACCCCTCCTCATCCGCAGAGCCCACATAAAGCACTTTGATTTTGGTGCCTGGTCTTACAGAGAGGTAGCCGCTGTCAGGAGGTTGCCTCACCTTGCACAAGTCAGAATGGAGTACCTGTGAAATCCTCATATCATACAACAGGTGAAGATTCCGATTTCTTTGATTTCTTGGCATGCCTCCTACAATATCAGTGCCAAATCAAAGCTTTAAGTTATGACAGAGTCTAAAGTTGGTCATGTTCCCCTGTACCTGGACCATCTCAGCAGCTTGGTTCAATAGCTCAAGCCAGCTTTTTGCACAATCACCAAGTCAATAAAGGCATTGAGCATGTCTCCCCGAAGTCAAATATGATCCTTTTTTAGAGGGGGTTAGGCCGCTAAGAGGAAGGAGGCTCTTAGCTAGGTAGCTAGTAGAAGCTAGGTAGCTAGTAGCTTAAGTAGCTACTATTTAGGATGCAGGACAGCTCACACTTCTTCAAGGAAGCTCCCCCCTTTAGGGCGGGGGAAACTTCCTTGAAGAAGCGCTCGCAACATGTTCCAAGAAAGCCTGACTGTCCTGAGTCCTCATGCCTCATGCTTGACCTCCAACATGGCACCCACAGCGAGGGGAACAGGCGCATGCACCATGGCGCTGAAGCTTCAGGCAAAATATGCAAACACTGGTGGCCTTCAGCAAGCTGGTTGCTCTATCTGCGACTCAAAGCAGGTCTGCGTTGGTCCGTTAATTAGAGTTTTAATGCTGATGTGGGAAGTAGCTCGAATGAAGGTTGGGCTGACAATCTATAGTGTGACCTTTTCAAACAGGTCCAATTGAGAATCAATCAGGTTTCGACGATTTTGGCAAAGTTCCGGTGACCCAATTTTGGGTAGATCCCTACAGTAATTGCAATTCCATAAACAGGGTGCGCACATATTGTATTTCTGCATCGTCTCGCTCGAGCAAATGTAAATGCCTCCCGTAGACTCCAAAGACTCCCGTAAACTCACTCAGAGAGGCTTGATGACTTCCAATGTCGGCTAAGGCATCGCCACAGAACGCCCCAACGCCCCAACGCCCCAACCAAGCCTGGTTGTTCACGACCTGAGGCTGGAGGAACTCGCAATTTTCCAGTTAGTCGCCAGCTCTGAGCCCGTGGCAAGGCTTGTAAGTTGAAAATGCAAAGAGAGTGTGAATGGCAAAGTGTGGGCGAACACAGCATGTCAAACTTCACGGCATAAAACACACACTTTATTGGATATTTTAATGGGCAAGCCAAGACTGTCGGAGTTGGCCCAGGAGCTATGTCGCTATGTGACTGACAAGGATGCATTTGATCATCAAAGAATCCTGCACGGCGACCATCTCAATGCATACAATTTTATGGCCTGCAACCTAATAGCAAAAAGAACCTGATGGCCTCCAACCTAATAGCAATGGCCTCAGGCCTACTAGTGATGGCCAACCTAAGCAATGGCCTCCAACCTATCAACCTAATCGCAATGGCGCCCATCCTACAATTTTATGCCCTTGCACACCTTCTGAGGCTGGTTGAATGTCCAGTTCCACATTTCATCATACAATCAGTTGTTGACATATTTGGTTGCTTGCTTTTGACAGTGTTCTTGCTTTTTGTCATTGACCTTCAAAACTGTCCAAGCGTGGCCAAGTATCAGTGATAAATACAGAAAAATGGGTTGCTTTGATTCTTTAGGGCCACGTGAGCTGTTGATGAAAAAATATGTTTGTTGCATCGTTTTGTTTTGTCAAAACATGCCCCACTTGCCTGAGCACAGGCGCCAAAAGCTGTGGCAGCAATAAGGTGGAACCGTCTCTTTGATGTTGTGTTTGGAAGGAGTAAAATCAAGGGGGCTCCTGGTTTGGTCTGGGAAGGAAGCTGTGTCTGATGACTCCACTGCAAGGCCAATGCATGACTTCGCACTTTCCGCTTTCACGGCTGCAGACCACGCTAGCAAATACCGCAATGCAAAGCCACTAAGGCCCAGGCAAAAACAATTTTCGTGGGCTGCGAGGCTGTGGTTGAGGAAAACAGTTTGGACAAATGGACGTGTGCTCTGCAAGTCGGACACCTTTTGTCTTCAAGAGATTATGGAAAAGCGGGGTGGCACATTCATTGAGGGCATTGACTATATAAACGACATATGATGACAATCTTGGCCACAACAATCTCAGCCACAACACTGAGAAGTCACAGGCAAACACATGTGAGTGAGAAAACGACCGGCAGGATTGTCATCTACTGGTGCATGCAGGCGAATTTATCTAGTTGACCCACAAAGCTGGTTCTGCTTTGTTGGGATTGTTGGCTTTTTGTTATATAATGAAGCAACAGCTTGCCGTCTTTGCTGAAGTCAAGCGCACTGACACACTGATGTTGATGACTGAAGGCGAGGCGGGTCAATCTCGGGGTTCACAAAACAATAGCTGAAATGCAATCCTTGAATTGAAGACAAGCACACCGGCCCATGTAGTCAAGAATTCCAGGGGCCATCATGGATGCTGCGAAAGCACTCCCTTTGTTAATCTTCTCAGTAGTTCGATGATCTGTGTCTGGATTCTCAACCACGTGGGCCAGGCTCGAAGCTCCATAAGCTGGCAAAAATTGAATGGCTTTCCACAAGGTCCCTCTACAATGTGATGCCTGGCGCCAAAGTTCAGGAGAAATTTGCAGAATTACAAAATTCTTATCTGTCTGATGCCCCCTCATGAAATGACATGAAAGTATGAACGTTTGTCTAAAATGCATATTACAACCTATTGGTCTGACAAATAACATTTCTTCTACAAGCCTGCGCTTGATAGGTTCAAGAAGCGAGATAAAGCCTTGTGGCGCCCAGCGCCATTCTCATGGAAGTCGATCTAGTCCAAAGTCCTGAAGTCACAGCCCTTGCATCTTTGCCCAAACTTGCCAAGTGCTGATTCAATGGGGCGGCTTTATTGAGACCTAAAACTGTTCCAGGCACAACAAATGTCATCGATTGAACGTATGTTTGGCAGCTTGCCGCTTGCGAATGAACTCAAAAACTTTATCTCGCATCTAGGCAACCCCACATTGGATCAGGCTCCGAATCAAACTCAACAAAGGCAAAGATTGCGTACCTCAGGCCAACACCCCAGCACAGCTTGAACCCGAGGCCTGCTTAGTTGAGGCATAATAAGGGCCTGCAACATGGTGAAGCTAGCTATGAACCAATGTGAACTGAATCTCTTGAAAAGAAAACTGGGACAAATGTTGTCAATACCGATACCACTACAAAGCTTTAAAGCTCCACTTCCTCGAAATGTGAGCCTACCAAACGCTTTGTGGTCCCTTTGAGACCCGCGGATATATCTGGGTCACATAATCACTGAATAGCCCTGGGGCACAAGAAGAGTCCCACAACTGGCACAGACATAGCATTGCCTGCCATGAATGATGTCGCTGCATAGTGTGGATCACTGGATCACTCAGAGGCTGCCCTTAAGAAACCGAAAGCGAGTCAAAAGGGAAAAAAGATCGATGATGCATGATATCACATGGAAATATTGCTCTGCGAGAATCAAACAAACACACATACACACACCCTCATAGTGCCGCACACTCTAAGGAAAAGACACTCCATCCCACCTCTAAACAAAAGTCATGCAGATCCTCCACCACCGCCACCAAAACAAAGTGTTAAAGCTCACAAAAAAAGATGAAGCGGCAATCAAAAAGGAATCACCAGCCCCATCAGCACTGCATCACTGAAACTCCATGTAAGCATATGTTGCAGCTGCTTGTATGGCTGTGAGTGGGCGTTTTCAGTGCTTGTCAGAGTGTTTGCTGTGTGCTGCTTGCTTGCTGGACTTGTTGGATGCTGAGCATTTTCTTAGCTGATTACATGCGTCTGTTCTCCGTCTTTGGCTATTGCTTAGACTCGGCTCGTTGCCGCTTGTTTCCTGAGCCTCTTCCTTGTCCGGGCTGCGATGGGGGATGGGGTAGAGGCTATTTGTTTGCATTGCGACAAGCAATCAATACACTGTTGCAATCAACACAGAGACGACGGACACTGTGTCTCGTGTCTCGTGTTGCAGGAATGTTTGAGACACCGCTTTGTGATGTGCGAGCATGAGACTTCCTCCTTTAAGTGCGACCATGCGAGACACGCTTCGCGTAGGATGCCATGGACCATGCTGTGCTTGACTGAACAGGAATGTGTTTCGAGTTCGTTCATGTTCAACCATGTTAGATGTGTCTAGATGTTTGTCGTTTTCAAGAGACCATGGGAAAATAAACAAAATAAAAAGCGAACCTGCTATTAATTTATTTCCGTTGACGTTCGATGCGAGATTGAGACGGCAAGGAAGCCATGTTGATGTTGTTGGCTTGTGAACAAAAGCACGGGCCTTCGACAACTGGAACAGTTCACACCTGATGTCATTGCCCATGATTGTAGTGAATGGTACCAGAATGAACATTTGGACACTGTTTCTATTGGGACAAGGACTCCCATGGACGTGCGCTTACGAGAGCACGTTGTTCTGGCTTGAAGTGGACAGTTGGCTACATCCCATTACATGTCTGATGGGCTTTCGGGTTCTCCAGAAATCATCGCGACTGTTTGGAGAACCGATGACGCCGTCGCATCGTCCCACTGGCCACCTGCTAAGAATCGGATGTGCTGGTCCGTGAGCCCCTCCAGATTCAGCTCATCCACAGGAAAACCCTGAGCGATTTGTTCAGAGGGAGTTTTCAGATGACGAACCTGAGGTTCTCGTATCTGTACAGTCTAGAGTCTAAACTAAAGTAGCGCCAAACATCCTGAAACCTGCCGCTCTTTCCTCCCAAACAAGTATATAACTGACTATCCTGAGAACTGCGTTTGTATTTGGCAAAATTCCTTCAGCCATAAAGAAACTTTCCAGTGATCCAGGACGCCTGCAGCGCCAACATCTCGGGGCCAATAAGCCACCTGCAAGTTTGTAGCTGCGATTTGAACACCATAGTCCAGGGGTTTGCACAGCCGGCAAATAAGCGGGACCGGGACCGGTAAACAATTTTTTTACACCTTAAAAAAGGAGTCCATTCGAGATACTTGTCAACAGCAGTATGGTTCCAGTTCCATTTGCACCTTCGAAAAGGCTTGAAGAAACTGGAAGAGTTTAGCTATGAATTCAGTGAAAGCCACAGTCTTCATTGCCTTTTATGGTCTTTGCCAACGCTTGAGTTGCTGAACACGGTGCTGATAGCTGGGTGCACCTCTGTCTGGTGTAGGCCCAGATCTTGCTTCCGGGGGTAAGACCTGAGGCAGGCTCCACAACGCTTCACAACTGTCACCGTGAAGGTCTACTCTTTGCTGTCCTTGACATGAAACCGGTGTCCAAAACAGGGGGAACGAAAGCCGGCAATGGAGTTGGCGTGTTGGATCCGGAGCGTTGAGAGCTGATGGAGTTGGATGGCAGCGACAAGCAAAGGTATCATGATCCGATGGTGAGCATATGCATGATAAGCTTAGCTGTGCAAAACCTATATTTGCCGAGCTGACATGAGGCAAGCCAACATCAGAGGACATTTTGTAAGTGGAAGGCATTGACACACAAAGTCAAAGCTGCAGCTCAGAAGTTCAAATGATGTTGATTGATTTTTGTACACGCAAAGATGCTGATCTATTGTTGCCTGCAGTGAAAGAACCTTCATGCTTAAGCAACCTCCAGTGGATTGTCAGCGCCAACGTGGTGTGTAGAGAATCCACAAATGCAGGTTCTTGAGGGCTCGATGCAAGATGCTCGCCTTTAGCAACCGGAGAGATACCATGTGTCAATCCAGCTTGCTACATTCTGAAAGCACCACACAGGAAGCACGGTTGGCGAAAGTAATGGTGGCATCAGATTATCGCAGAAACGCTTGACTGCAAGTTTGAACTGTTTCACTGATCTGGCAAGTGTCGGGTGGCTCATTGTCCAAAAAGCAGGTAAGCCGAGGTTCAATGTGCAATCTTCACCTCTCATATCTGTGAGCTAAGTGAGATGAAGCAAATGACACGTAATATTAAGGAGATGAAGCGATGCGGGCTGAATTGAGAGAAGACGCAGCAAAATGGAAAGGAATACAAAGCAGCCATGCGTCTCAAAGCCGGGACGATGGGGAAGTTAATTTGAAACCGAAACATCAGGAATGTGTTATCCTGTCAGCTGCATTCCGGATAACTGTATAAAAAACAAATGGTGCACTACGATTTCAAGTTCCTCTCGACATCCGAGACACATGGTGTTTCTCGGGGTCGGCAAGAGCCATAGAGGACACTTCGAGAAATCTCAGCGAAAAGGTTCCTGGCATATTGTCACACATGTATATACTTGCAAGAGCAGCTGAGTAGACAGCCAACAACAAGTTGTTGCGAATCTACCTTCCAACAGAAAATGTCAGAAAACTGAACTGGGCATTCAAAATCTCATCTGTATATATATATATATATACATATATATGTATATGTGTCCACTCTCTACGTCCTTTTGCGGGAGTGTGTTGCTCCTCCGTGCCTGCCCCACTTTAGCTAACACGGTTGGAGCAACCTCAACCGCTGGTCGGCAGGTGTCTTGTCAGCTGCCGTTGAAGTCATCTTCCCTTTGGAAGTTTTCTTCTCTTTCACTTCTGCGTCAAGGGAAGCAGCCGCATCCAGGAGGTCCCGAAGCACTAGAAAGTTCATCTGCTCGAAGTTTACCTCCATTCGGTTTCCCATGTTGGACTTTTCGTACTCCTTTCGAGAGGTCATCCGAGGCCTCGTTTTGCTCTCGAGGGATCCATGCCAAGTCCAGATCCAGCGAGTACTTGTCCAGTTGCTTGGACAGTTCCATGAGCACCAAGGATGCTGGAAATTTGGTCGTTAGGAACCGATCAATCAGGTAGGCATTGGAGAGGTTGTCGGTGAAACCCGTGACCGAGACTCTTCCTGAGCCTTTTCTCCAGGCCGACTCCGGGCCGAACACCATTATGGCCACCGTGACCGCCAAGAGCTCCGATGAGGAGATGGTTCTAAAGGGTTCCCCCTTGATGTAGAGGATGGTGCGTTTCGTCGTGTCAGCCTGACATGGAACCACCTGGCCGTCCTAGGATCCGCCGACTGAAAGGTTTCCCAGCCACCAATAGCCACCCCATCTACATCGGCCATGGCATCAACCCGAAAGATCTCGCCTAAAACCAGCGGGGGGTGCACTCAATGCTTTCATGGGCTCCGATGTGATCGCGCCCTCGAAAAACTTTATGGCCAGCTTCACCGCTAAGTGGAGGTCGAAGTAGCTACCTCCTCATACCTGGGCTGAGGGGCGCCAGAAAGGGCCTCGATCTCTTAGAGATGCCCGCGAGGAAACCCAGGCGTCCTAGTCCGGCTTTGAACTCACGGCCCAACATTCGGCCTTGTGACAGGGCCAACTTCGCCCAGGACTTCAACCACTCTACCTTCTTTTCACTCACACCAATCTGCCAGGTGTGTATGTCCACCGTGTACCCTATCCACTCGATCTTCGAGCCCCCCCGCGTCTTCGCCCATGACAACGGGATCTCCAAGAGCTCCAGGAACATGAACAAGCCCAGAATGCTGCGATGATAATGCTCGCCACTGCTCAAAATCAGCCCGTCATCGGCGAACAGCAGCAAACAGAAGGCCGCTCGGGGATCAAGAATACGGTGGAAGACTCTAAAGGCAACTCCGGCCACTCGACCCCACCAAAAGGCAGCAGAGGCCACCCCAAACGCGCCTCTGGTGTTCAGCAGTCATCGTCGAGTCTGCAGGCTTGCAATCCCCAGTCCCTCGGATGCACAGGAACCAGCCTACGCGCCGCCTTGATGTCAAAGGCCATCATCAGCTTCGCGGGACCTGCGTGGTTCTTGAACTCCTTCACCATCGCTTCCAAGTCGTCGAATTGGGGAAAGCCCATCTGGTTGGGCTGCTCCACATGCGTGTTCACGCGCAGACCGTGCGCGGCGTCATGCACCACCCTCACGTCGGACCATTCTTTGTCCTTGGGAACCGCCCCCAAAGAAGCCACCTGCAAGTCCTCCCCAAAACGGTCCACCGCCTCCTGTCTGGTCATCCTGACCATCCAACCCTTCCGGATGTCCTCCTCCACATGCTCCTTCACCTTAGTCATATGATCTTTGGCCGAGGCGTAGTTGTCCCGCAGCACAGGGTCCACCCCGGAATCCTCCTCCCACATGACTGGCGCCGAATCATTGCCCTTCTTCTTGTCCTTTCGGTCATAGACGGCCTGAACCCAAGGAACTTCTCCACGGATGCCAAGAGGGACGCCAGTCGAAGCAACATCCGCCAGGAAGTGGGAGTCCGCGTCCTCTACCAACAGCGCCCACGCTTGTAGATGGCGGTAGGAAATCTCCGTTTGCACGTCCCCTTCTCTTCTCTTCGGCTTGAAACCGGCTGCCTCCAGCAGCCTATCCGTCTTCTCCTTCAACCCCGCCACCTCGTCCGAGAAAGGGGACTTGGAGCGCCTGCCCAGGGCTAACTCCGAAATCAGCTTGAGCCTGCCTTTCTTGCCCAGCCTGCCCAGGAAACCGTCCACCTCCTCCCAAAAGACCTGAGCTATCATCTGGGCCTCATCGCTGAGCCTGACTCCTCTGTGGCCAACTGGTCGGGCGAGTTCAGTCCGAGGCCATCCACCATCCGGCGGGCCTTCCCCTTGTACCAAACTTGAAGCGGAGTCCAACTGGAAGCGCTGGACGGCAATGGCAACTTCTTTCTCCTCTTTGCTTCATGCGCCGCAGGAGGTTGGCACCCCCCCCTTTTCTTTCCCTTGCCCTTCACGGTGAACTGGTTCATCACCTGCACGATCCTGAGGTTGTTGAGGGCACCCATGAGAAACTCCCGGACTCATCTGCTCCTGTTGCCCATGAGGCGGTCCCGAACGCTGGGTTTTCTGATCCCCTTTTTCTGCTTGCACGTCCTGACGGTCTCCACCCCGATCTCCTTCCCCTTCTTCTTGGCTTGCTGAGACCTGTCTTTCAGGCGGTTGGTTTGGCCCCCTCTTCAGAAGAGCCTGGAAGATATGTGAAGCCAGCCAGTGGTCCATTGCGGGTGGATATGCCGCTGCCGCTGCGGTTGCGAATCCTTCGCCTGCACTGGTCGTCGTTTGATGAGCCCTTCGTGAGGGTGATTGCACCCGCAGGAGTGGGGCAAGGGCCCAATGTATTGCGCTTGCAGGTTGAGCTGAGGCAGACCCGACCAAACCTGGGCTTGAAGGGAAGGAAGATTGAAGAGGAGCCTGGTAGGTTTAGGCGATTTGGCGCCCATCTTGCATTGGAAGAATGCCCCGGTATAGACCTGTCCCAGCCGGACCCAATTTTGGATGGGTAGCAACTGCCAAATCGATGCCGGCCTGAGATGAGGGCCCCATCGCTGTGAGGCACCCAACTCTTCAGGTGCTCGAGGATGAAGTAAATGTTGTGAGGCAAACAAATAGTGATGACCTGTAGACAAAGCTGGATCATCAAGTTGGAAGCTTCCACTTTGCGGAGCTTGTCGCCCTCTAGCCATGGGTACCCCCAGGGGTGAGCCGAGCTGCGAAGTGGGCGTGGGCCCAGTGAGTTCGCCCACGGTGCCCTTGACCATGTGGCACAAGGAGGGCTCATAACCACTGCCTGGAAAAAATTGCTTCGCAGCTCATCCAGGAGCTCTCGTTGCAACTGCTCTTGTAGAAGATCATGAGAGGGATCCCGCGCAATATCAAATGCATGCACTCTGATGTTGACCTGCTCAGCTGAGGCCTGGGCAAACCGTTGAAGAACCTCAGGATTGGGAGCCTGCGAACAGGTACAACACATTGAATTCGGCGATGTCTTTCTTGCCTTCTGCCTGCGCCCCTAGTCAGGCGCTACCCTGTTTGGGCTCTTGAGGATGCTCGAACGTAGGATGCCCAGGATCCAGGCAAATGCGACATGCATGAACTCGACCGCACCCGCCTTTGCATCCCTCCTGTGGATTGTTCCACGCGAAGCACAGCTGTCGTCCATCCGGAGTTGAGCCCTGAAGAGATCCACTCCGGGATCTGCCTTTTCCTTTCTTCCCTTTCGACTTGCTCTTCCCCTTTCCTTTGTGGTAGGGAGGCTCGTATGGGCGCTGTCGCTCCGACTTGACCCCCCTCTGACGATAGCAGCGATTGTGAGGCGCTGGAGACGGCCAGCGGCGTGCTGAAGTGCCTCTCCCTGATGTCTGCATCCTTGGTCGTGGTCATCAGGGCCTTCGTGAAATCCATCCCCTTGTTCACCAGCTCCATGGCCTCCTTGCGCATCTGGTATTCATAATGCATGACGAGCTTCAAGGAGGGCCGATGCAAAATAGCCCCTTCCACCGTCTGCGCCTCCATCATGGCCACATCCTTACCACAGAGGTAGTTTAAGTACTCGACGCCGGTGAACGGGTTCACATTCTTCAACACATCTTTGTTCGGGAGCCTGAAGCGGGCGAAGACGAAGTGATTGATCATACGCATGGTCTTAGAGCGGAACTCCTCCATGTTGGTCGGGTTAGCCGTCTCCACCTTTGCCTTCTTGATCTTGAGGCGCCCACTCTTGGCTAGCTGAATATTGCCCGTCTCCGCCTCATCGTCTTCATTCCTGGACCCGAAATGCCTCAAGCTCATGGCCCAAAGTTCACCTGAGTCGAACTGTTCACACAAATCCTCAAAGCTGGGCTTGCTCGGACATTCGGCGTCCTTGAGCTTGTAGAAGCGCTTCTGGAACTCTGCCCTATACAGCTGCAGCTCAATCGCCGGGACCGCCTTGGGGACCTTCTGCGCCTCCGCTTCCGCGTCCAGCTCATCCCTGACTAGGACGCGCTTCTGCGCTGACTGCCAGGCTAGATACAACGTCGCAAACTTCACTGCATCTGTAGGCCTGACCGTCGCATCGACCCCCAGGCTAGCTTTCGCCAGGCTCTCTAACGTGTCCCTATCCACTGCTACTGCCGAAAGGCCAAGCTGTTGATGCCCATGTCGTAGAGCTTGGCTTGAAGATCAACTGGAAACCCCCTGAGGTCCAACAGCCCCTGCGTATCCGGCGCAAGCAGGGCGACCTTTTCCGTGTCGGTGAGAAGGTCCATGGCTACTCCGAGCTATTCCCGGGCGCTCCGGCCGCTTCACGCACTCCGGCGTGACCCCTTCCTGGGCACTACTCCGAGCGCGACGACGAACCACCTACGCTGGTCGGGCAAAGCCCCCACCCTGCCCCTCCAAGGCCACCCCTCCGCCCCTCCGAGGCGCATTTTTCTTCCAGCTTTCAGTCTACGGCTCTCCGGCCTCATCGCCTTCCATGTCCGTTGAGGACGGGGCGGAATCCGTGTCCACTTCACCTTCCGCTCCGGCCGAAAGGGCCTCCGCGATTTTCTCACGGGTGGAGAAACAGGTGGAACACAACCTCTCACCCTGGGATGGGTCCAACTCGGGCCTTTCCATGCCCACGATCACGAACTCCTTGAAGTGGACCCCCGGCTGCCTATGACAACCCCCCGAAACATGAAGCGTCCTTCGCTTCCCTCGACCGACAATGGCCAGCACGTATGTTCCCAACGGGTATAGTTGGGCTCCGCCTCCGGCAGATCCGCGCGCTCTTCCTCCTCAAAGACGGCGAGTCCTCCACCACGTCAAGGTTCGACGGTGGAGATGTGGGGACATACCCCCCCACTTGCGCCCTTCTCCGAGGTGCTCTTCAACTCCACCAGCAACTTTGGCGACCCCCAGTGTTCGGGCGCAATGCACTGGCCCTCCAAGTTCGCCTGGGTCACCGTCTTCTTGTGGACGTCTTGCAACCAGACCGTGAAGTTGTTGACCACCGACCTGTCGTCCACCACATCCAAGGCACCGTGCTGCCTCCGAATCCGGCCAGCCACCTCCTTCTGGGCGTCACGCAGCAGCCTCCGCGTGGTGGTGACGTAGTCTTCGTCCACCGATGGACGCCAGCGCCCCCACCGCCTCCTGATCTCCTTGTCAACTCCAATGACTGCTGCCCAGCTGGTGATGGTCACCCGCTCCGAGTGTTCCGACCAGCAGCAGCTTGACTCCGGCCTCAGCAAAGGAAGATGCCTTCCCTTCTCGTCCTTGATGGGTGCCAGCAATTCACTCCACATAGCCCTGGAGAAGGACATTGCGTCCGGGTACTTCATCATCCTCCTGCGGAAGTTTGCCAGGGTCTCGTCCGGGATCGGCATCAGGAAGTCCTTATTCAGGTGGTTGGCCCTCCGAGCCATGATCGTGTAGATCTCCAAGCCCACCTGAATCCACTCCTTGTGCACCAGCCACGAGCGACAGGAGATGTGGAACTGAACGATCTCTATGCGCTTTCCCGACCCCGTAGTTTTGCTCCGGTGAATCTCTCCTTCCAACCCCACCTGAGGATCAAACCTGATCGACGACGGCGGGATGCCCTCCGAGTCGTGGCAACGCAACGCGCCCCATAGTTTGAGGAGCTTGTGCCAACAGTAGACCCTCATGAAGTTCTGCAGACTGATGTTCATCACCGAGTCCTCGAGTGCCTTCACCATGGACACCGTGAAGCGAGCCGCCTTGTCTTCCGTGGCAACCAGGCGTTGCTACGCTCAGTTTCCATCAAGAAATGATGGAGGGCGAGGGACGAGGAGATCCGGCGCTCAGCGGGTACCTCAGCTGACAGTTCGAGAAAAGCTAATGCCTTAAACAAAGACCCCGGGACAGAGCACCCGCAGGGTTCTTCCATCCTGAGGGCCACATAGGCAATGAAGTCGCCTTCGTGCCGTAGCCACCTCTCGCCGAACACACCCTCCATGTACTCTTGGAGCTGAATGCCATACCTGACATGTTGACGCAGCGTGGCAGCCCTCCGTCCCATAGCATATCTGCTGGCATAGTACTCGTAACGCTCGGGCTTTCTCTCCAAGGCCTCGACCAGGCCTGAGACTTCCAGAAGGGTCACCAACTTCTGGATCCAACGGTCTCTCTCCTTCTCTTCAACCTGTTGCCTGAGCTCTTCGCTGGGAGTGTGGCCCAGCATCTTGTCCGCTCTGGTCTTCCAGGAGACTCTAGGGAGCGTCTTTCGAGCCTTGGCCAGCGAAAGTCCCATCTCCTCCCCAAACGCCGTGCCCTCGATCTTGCGGTCGATAAACGACTGATCTTTGAAAAGCAGGCGCTGATGTTGGAGGAACGTGTGATCTTCAACATCCATCTTGATCTTCTGCCGCTTCGCCTCTCTCATGAGCCATCCGTGTTCATCTTCTCCACAACCTTCTGCGATGCCTGGCAGCATCTCTAGCACCTCTTCCCGAGGCATCTCATGAAAGAAGGCTAGCGTGCCACGCTGCCAACCCATGTCCAGGAGCCTCTTTAAGAGGGCTCCTGGATCCGACATGGCGACCGGTCCTTGGCCCAACACACCTCTTTTGAGCCCGAACTCCGTTCGTTAGACACATTGCGACGATCGTTCCGACCGGCTACATGTATATGGCAAGCTATCCAAGCACCAAACAAAGTGCGTGTTTTAAAAAATATATAGACTATAGACCTGCGCATCTGGACAATGCTCGCCTCAAATGTGAATCTCCCGCAAAAAGCTCACGATATTCTTGGCACGTACAAGCATCACGGGAAATAAGCGGAGTCAACCCATGCCAGGCCAACAAACGGGACAAATCTTTTCCTCCTTTGACCTTTGTCAGAAAATATGCAAAGTTTGATTGAAACTTTACTTCTCTTGCACAAAGCCCACGCAGTTGTGTTTAGTGAAGGCTGCATTCTGTAGGACTGTTTGAAATCTCAATTGAAATCCGTTTTGAGAGTACCGGCCTTTTTCAAAGCGCGGATGGCCTGCAATTCAAGAGTGTCCTGGCTAGGAAAAGCCACCAGTTCCAGCACCCAATTGAATTCATTTGCTGGCGCAGCTACGACACAGCATTGTTACAACCCCCAGCTTTGCGATGCAACTTTGCACTTGCCTTGTAAATGCTTACGATCATACAAGTTGTACACTATTACTATTACATATATTGCTATACAATGCATGTAACAAAAATAAGAATTGTCATTAGTATATAATCATAGTAGTAAATCTATATATGTCTGGCAGTTTGGCCAACAGGATGCGAACGCGAAAGTCTTCAGGGCAGACTATCTAGGGAGCAACCTGCAGAAAGGATTCTTACCTGTCATAGAGTCAACTCGGATCTGCGGTCATACTCAGTTCAAACATGTTGCACAGCAGCACGCCTGAACTCGCTGGCTGAGGAACCGGGACCATCCGCATCCCTTTGGGATCAATGGCCCTTCCTCTGGCCTCTTGGAGCACAACACACAGAGCCAGGTCTTAGCTCCAAAAGCTTAATAATATTGTTACGTTCCTAGTAAGAATGCTCCTAGTAGCGATGCCAGGAGCCTCTAGTAGCGTCCTTGCTCCTAGTAGTAAGGCCAGGAGCCCCTAGTAGCTTCTTGTTTCTATAGGGCTTTCCCAAAATTCCCCGGGAAGGAGACTGACAGTGTCTGCCGTTTTATGAACCTTCGCTGAACCTAAACATCGTCAAGGGATGTTGGCAGCATTTCTGTATGTTTGACAAAAGAAAAAGCTGCGCTGCGCCCAGCATCAGTACTCTACCCCACCTGACACCCAACTGTTTTCGGATCTGACGATTCACCTCTATCCATCGTCCTTGCACATCTCAATCACTTATGGACTTAACCTTTTGAGTATTTTTGACTTTTGACTCATACTTTCTCAGTAGACACCAAGTTTAGTCATATCACAAAAGAGTCTCTTGCACTGCAATATGAGTTGGGGTCTTGTGTTCCTGGTCCGTTGTTTGCACCGCATTCTTTATGACCGTAGCAGCACTTATGTGCGATGATTCCACGAGCGATTGCAAGGGTAGAAAAGCACAGCTTGTCAGCTATTCACAATGCAAATATGTCAGTCCTCCAGCAATGGGCATCCTGCATGTGCAGCACTTTCATTCACAGCTGAAATTGCTATCCTGCATCTACCTCTCAAAAACAAATATATTTCTCTTGGCCTGGCCGGGCCTTCGTTTTTGGTGCGACGGTTGCCCTTCCGATTGCTTCCAACTGGAATGAATTCATCAGTCCCTCGTTTGAGTTTGAAGCAAACCGACACTGTTGACTGTCTTGGTTTACAATAGTATGCATATGTATGAAATAGAAAGTAACGAGTTAACAAACACACAAAAAGGGCAGTTGTCAGGTTGCTGAAGAGTTGATCAGGGTTTCCTCGGTTTAAATGTCTCATTTCACCTATGCAATGGCATTTGCCATGGCAGCATGCCTGACGGATACAGGTCACTCGTTCATGCGCTTTCCTGTCCTTCCACGTTCAACCTGCTGGATCTCCAGCCCTTAAATCAATCACAACACAAGCAAGGACTTACACAAACATCACAAACTTCAACCAAACAACTCATCTCTCGTCGAACCGACTCAAGCCACCTCTACTTTGACGCTGTCCCCTCAAAACAATGCATCGAAACTCTGGAAACCAGAAGCTGTTTTCACAGTTGCTGCACCCGTGGAAGCCCAGCGTCTTTCAAGCTCAGATTGCACCTCAATCTCGCTGTCATCCAGCAAAAATGACTGCGCTGGCACCTGAACACAAGTGTGATCAAGTGTGAAATAGCCTTCAACACCGAACCAGCAAGCTTCACGCAATGGCCTCCAACCTCCTAGCAATGGCCTCCAACCTACTACCGATGGCCTCCAACCTAATAGCGATGGCCTCCAACCTAATAGTATTGGCCTCCAACCCAACGTCGATGGCCTCCAACCTAATAGCGATGGCCTCTATAATAGCAATGGCCTCTAACCCAACATCGATGGCCTAACCTGCTAGCGATGGCCTCCAACCTAATAGCGATGGCCTCCAACCTAATAGCGATGGCCTCCAAACTATTAGCGATGGCCCCCACCTACTAGCGATGGCCTCCAACCCAAAAGCGATGGCCTCCAACCTACTAACGATGGCCTCCAACCTATAATAGCGATGGCCTCCAACCTCTAATAGCGATGGCCTCCAACCTACTAGCGATCGCCTCCAACCTAATAGCGATGGCCTCCAACCTAATAGCGATGGCCTCCAAACCAAAAGCGATGGCCTCCAACCTACTAGCGATGGCCTCCAACCTAATAGCGATGGCCTCCAACCTACTAGCGATGGCCTACAACCTAATAGCAATGGCCTCCAACCTAGTAGCGATGGCCTCCAACCTAATAGCGATGCAGTCCAACCTTATAGCCATGGCCTCCAACCTACTAGCGGTGGCCGCCAACCTGCTAGCGATGACCTCCAACCTACTAATAGCGATGGCCTCCAACCTACTAGCGATGACCTCCAACCTAATAGTGATGGCCTCACACCTACAAGCGATGGCATCCAACCTACTAGCGATGACCTCCAACCTACTAGCGATGGCCTCCAGCCTAAGAGCGATGGCCTCTAACCTACTAGCGATGGCCTCCAACCTATAGCAATGCCCTCTAATCCAACATCGATGGCCTCCAACCTGATAGCGATGGCCGCCAACCTAATAGCGATGGCCTCCAACCTACTAGCGATGGCCAACCAA